GTTCCAGCTCTTTAACAGCATCGCAGTGGGCCCTACATAGGGATGTTACTTGTTCCTTTTGTTGGTTAAGTGACTGTTGAGCTGGAGGCCCCAAGTGAGATCTCGGGGGTGTGCGCGCACGCCATGAATAACTGGCGCCATCCCTGAAGGCTTCTTACAAGCTGAAAGGTCTAGAACAGGTGCATAGACCCTTCATCTGAGGACAAGGAGGGTTACAGCAGTGGGAACGCACCCAAATGGAGCTAACCTTTTGCAGGCTTCAAGTGCACATGTTTTATATTTGAAAAAAACATCTGATTTCTGCCTTGGGTCAGCTGTAAAGCATTTTTGGGCAGAGAACGATCTTGAGGAAGAGCCCACACTTGATCCAAGGCAGATGTTCCTGTTCAGAAGGGGCAGCGGAAGCTCATGTTGCTGCAAGGCTGCAGAGGGAAATATTGCAAGTGCAAGCGAAGGGTAGGCAGGAAAGCATGTGGCAGTCCTTGAGCTAAGGACCAGAGTAGATAGAAGTGGGAATGAACAGAGGGATGTTTTGAAGGGTTGGTCTTACCAGAGACCAGGAAGCAGCTTTGAGAATGGATCCTGAATGGGGACATTTGGGCAGGACAGAGGTGGCAGGTGTCAGTAAGTGGTTGGTTGCTTTTAGAAACCGGAGCTAACATCTTATCCCCCTTCTCTGTTCGCTCCAGCAGAGACCTCTTTGGCTGTGGGGTTATCCAAACTTGACCTTCCAAAGCCACAGCAGAATTTTAAGTTGGGGGTCAGTGTTGAAAGCAGTTCTGCTCCTGGGCTTGTTCCTCTTGAAGGTGCTCAATAGTCACTTGGGAGTATTGTCTCCTGGGAAATACTCCGAAACCCTTGTTTCACTCTATTAAGACGACCCACCCATCTCTTAGCATGAGTTGAAGGCCTCTCAAAGCCAGTTGCTGCATCCGACAGGTCCAGACTCAACTCCACTAAATGCAGAGGTGTTTTGAAGAGGAGTTTGACCTGTTTATAAAGGCCAAATGCTTTTTTTTTTAATTTTATTTTTAAATAGGGTGTATAGTGTAGGTCAAACATTTTTTTTTTTTTTTCTCTTGTATGGAGAAGAGGAAGGGAAAACTAATTCCTGGGAGAAAAATGACTAGTGGAATAGTAGACTCGATGTCCAGCATGAAGCAGCGTCCGGTTTCCTGAACTGCTGAGTCGCTGGACTCTGTGGTGTATTCTGCTGCGTCGCTATGAGAGTGGCGGCTTTGCTCTTTACATAAGCTTTTTGCAGGAAAAAAGGGCAAGGAAAAAATGACAAAAAATAACAAGGTGAGCAGAGCAGTGGAGCAACGTTCATTATAAAAATGAAGGGTTGGGGGTGGAGAATCAATTGGGGCTTTGTATGGATCCACCTAAGAGAGCTCCTTGGAAGAAGAAGCCGGCTGAGGAGGAAGTGATGGGGCGGAAATACCATATTTCAGCAGACTTGTCATTGCAGGTGGGTGTAGCAGAGGCGTTTTCCCACAGAAAAGCAGCTCACCTTGGCTCGGGTCTCTGGTGGCGCTCTCAAAGGAAACTCTTGCGTGTCAAATGGAGAATGCTCTCGTGGGTGTCTGCAGGGGCCTACCTCTATCTTGTTCTTGGGTTTGTGGTTTTTTGGGAGGGAGCCAGATCTTAGTAAGGAGGAAACTTGGGTGTTTTTTTGAGAGTTTTATGGCTCTGAGCCTGCCTGAAACCAGAGCTCGTCTGGAAAGTCAATCTCGAAGTCCGGTGAAATCTATGTTACAGATACCGAGCTGTCTTGGAGCGCCCCAACTGCAGGTCTGATGCCTGCTAAGACGACGATGACAGCGGAGCTGAACTCTTAAGGGTCAAAACAGCTGGAAGGCCGTAAGAGCGACACAATTTGCAATATAGTATTGCAGAATTTATGCAGCTCTGCTACCATCCAGCCTTGGGCCGGGAGCATGTGGAGTCGGCCCGGAAACGATAGTTACAGCAGTTACAGCATTGAGACCTGAAGTCCCATCCCTTACTGCTTCCGACTAAATGATGGATTGCATTTGAGCAGGGGGAGTAAGATGCAGACTCACATTAGTTGGGTTTTCCTGTTCAAGCTTTTTCAAGTATTAACAACAACAAAAAACCAACAAAAAAACCCCCTTTTTTCTTGCCCTC